CCCGCTTCGTTGGCCTGCTTAGCTATCGCGCTCTGTTGTCAGGTTACTTAACGTTCAGAATTGAAATATTATTCACAGTTCGGTTTTTACTTGATGCCTTTAATGCTATGGGCTCCTGAGAGATAACTCGTTATTTCGTGAGAACATTACTATTTACTTCAACTTGAAGCTTTAGTGGATGGTGCTCACTCCTACTGAATCACATGCTCTTAGCCACTTTGTCTACAACTGGCGTGTATTTTGGACAAATCAGCAGTAATCCTTATGGGTTGTTGGGGTAAAGCAGAAATTACCGCCTGTTAAAGCGAACAAAAAAGAAATCCGAACCTTTTTTCACTCAAACCATCAGAAAATTACCTTTAGAAGATGAGTTTATGACGGTCTAGGTTGTATAGAATTAGTCGGTTCGAATAGTTAACTAACAAAGTATACGCATCGGAAAGGTAGAATTACTATTGCAGCCAAGACAGTAGGTATAACTTGTGCATCATAATCTCATAGCCAAGTTCTGTTAAACAGAGTATGGGTGACAGCAGTACTTATTCTGTGCAGAGGGCTGAAGTGCATTGGCAAACAGGGTGTTGGTGGTCAGCCATGGAGGTGCACCAGCCACCCAGATCCAGACAACAGTGAAGAGCTTCGCGAGAGCTTTCTTTGCTATCAGTGGGGGTAAATCGACGGATCAGCTGGTTGGCACAATGATTAGCTGACCCTGTTAACGTAGCAAACTTTCTAAGCGGTTATTTAATGAATAATGTTCATATGATAGTGTGGATGTCATCTACAGGCAAAAGACTAGGATAGGACTAGGGGCTGAAAATACCGCCCAAACTCAAACCTGAACATCTGTAAAGAATCCCGTATTTCATCCACTCTAGGAGCGGGTGCCAGGCTATGCTAACGGCCTACGCCTTTTCCGCCTCCGTTTGCGCTAAAAAATCGAACAGAACTTAACCAGGGTTCGTCGCCATGACTGCGACAAAAATCAATAATATTTTAGGCACTAGCCTGATTGGACCCGCACTACAGGCTGGCAACAGCCTTGAAGTGCCCGCACCGGCCAGTCGAAATTGACGACCTACAAACAAAGCGAGCAAACAGGGCTGGCCCGGAGTGGCAACAGTTGAGGAGCACGTGACGCCTGATTCGCGCGCACGCTCGCGTGCGATGTGGAGCGAAAGCGATCAGCCTGGTGGCCTAGGGCGGCCGCAACTCTTTTTTGCCTTCCCGCGCCATTCGTCAAGTGGGCTGAAGGCAGATTTGCGCCTACTTTCACTTGGCCGGAATGTCAAAAGCCGGTCTCAAAATACAAAACAACCACCGGGGCAGATACAAAACTTCGTCACTTGCAAAACTTCTTGAAAAAAATAATAATTTTTGCTGAAATTCCTGGTGTCTGTTTATCTAATCAGCTTCTGAGTTCTACTTAGCATGGATTCTTACCTGGAGGATCCTGCGAAACTTGTAACTTAGCCTTTATTAATCTACTCACTTCTCTTCGTAATGAACGGCAGTCAGTGAGTGTTATCTAATTTGATTTTAATAAAGCCTTCAACAAGTTGTCACATAAGCGTCTTTTGGTAAAATTGGAAGTCCTTGGCATCCGGCCTTTTATACTCGACTTCATCGGGTACTATTTGTCCAACCGCTATCAGAAAGTCATGATTATTAGCAGCTGTTTGGCGCCTCACTCAATCGCGAGTTGCGTATTTCAAGGCACGGTTCTGGGTCCGCTGCATCAATGATATTTCGACAGAAATCAGGAATTCGCAAACGTTAATTTATTCCTATGCCCTTAAGTGTGTTCATTCACATAATAAAGACACCGCAAATGTTTGCATTGAAAAAATTGACTCCGGTCCATGATAATTTAAATTTGGCAGGTGGAGTTTTCTTCGTTTAAGTGTTGTCCCATGTGTCTTGGCCCCGCCAAGCTTTCTGCCCCCATAATTTTTCGAAATACCCCGCTCAGAATGCTCCGCAATGAATGATTTAAGCCTAAGTTATACAAATAAGCTTGCCTTTATCCTTTCATGTAGACCGAATTTCTGCAAAGACAGCAGATATGTGGTTTCATATCGCATAAATTTTTCCTTTCGGGAATTAAGCTAAGATTTTAGCAAGTGTCTGCTATTCCGCCCTCCAATGTCGTTGTTTTTTCTTTGGTTTAATGAGTGCCTGTGACCGTAGCAAAATCGGAAACCTTCAGAGTTTTTACTCAAGGACTCGTCTCCACGCTAGTTCCGATATTTCTTACACTGAGAGATGTCAATTGGCAAGCATCAAGTTTTTATGGGTTAGAAGACTCGTTTTAGCATTAAATATAGTCATTGTCTTCTGTGTATTGACAGTCTCACTCCGGGAGATCGGTCTTATGCCATGCATAATTCCCCCATGGCGACTCCGTCGCCTGTTTACTCTACGACTGAGCGCTCCCTGTTTTTGCATTCAAATACGCCTTCCTTCGGAATAATCTTTCCTCGGAACTTAGATAATCGCCTAAATTACCGGTATTCAAATCGTAATTACGTAAACAACTTACCTCGGAAAGCGTAAATTCATTATTGACGGATCGTTCCCAACACTCAGCTTCTGATTTTTGAAGGGGCCCTGAAATTTAATGGCAGATAATCCATGTTTTGCTTGTACAAGTGGGCACTCATTTAGATGTCTACAACCCCCTGTTTTTAATTGGCTGCAAAATCCGCTGCTATTACTTAACCCCCCCTCCCCATCCCTCCCCCTGTAGAGATAATTTTTGCAGCTTTTAGTGTCGTCTCCTCATTTCGACCCCCAAGCGACCTGTCGATGATCACGGCAGGTTCCCCTGTTTTCGCCACCTGCTAATAGTTTGGTTGGTCAGCAAAGACGTATTATGGTCGTATCTCCCTGCGCTTTGATTCTCCTCGCAGTTTTTAATGCCTCCATTCTCTAAGTGGACTGTGACCGGTTGGCTTGGGTTTCTCCTGTCTCGCCACTTTGGTGGTTGCTTCTGTTGTCATTCCAAAAATATTATGATCGCATCTGCAGAGAGTAGCCTCACCCGGTTTGGGAATTCTACCTTGACGAGTAGCGTTTCGAACCCTTATATGCCCTCACCTTCAGGACAGTCCTGTCCCACACGTACATTTACATTCCAATGGGCAACAGTTTTTTCTTCTTAAATACCAATTAACTCACACTCATTTTTTTCCTTTTTTACCAAATTTGAGGGAATTTTTTCCTCTGTCACCAATCGTTTTTCATATCAGGCTACCTATTTTATGAACACAAACTGAACACCGTACTGTATTGGCCTACCCGCTATAAAGTCAAATTAAAATTGTATTTATACCTGCCAGGAAGGTAACCTTATGGATGCTAAATGACAGTTCGACCATCGGTTTCGATGATGTCCACCGTGTGCCCCACCGTGCGCTTGAAGCTATCACGGTGCGCTAAAAGCCGTGGCTTGGAAGGTTGCCAACTGACGGGGTACCTCGGACCTCCTCCTTCACTGGAGGCGGTCTGAGAGTCAGGCTGCAATGGC